TTTTTAGTATTTTAAAAAGTTTTTTAATTTTTTTAATTTTAATTTTAATTTTTAATATTTCTTTAAAGGTTTGTTTTTATATTTCTTTAAGATTTCTTATTATTTCTCTTTGATATTAATTTATGAATTCTTTATATTTTTTTTAAAACTTATTTTAAATTTATTTAGAATTGATCAAAGTTTGATTATAAATATTAAGATTTATTTAAAGTTTATTTAAGATTCTATTAGACTAGATAGGGTTGTTGTTGCATTTCTATTTATCTTTTATATTTAAGTGCTAGTGCATTCTCAAGCAAGAACACATGTAATATGAAAAAAATCCATATTATAGCTAGAAAAACTTATTTTTTGACATAGTGTCTATTTTGACAGTCATACTTCTCATTTTATAATTGCATTGCTACTTTGGACAATGTTGAGTACTTTGCTTTGATTCTCCATAATATAAATATAATTCTTCTTCTTGATGACAAGTCTTTTCTTGCTCACTAAGAGGTTTAAAATGTACCATATCAATTTGCATATGCTCTACTTTCAAAGATATGTATTGAAAAGACGTTGGTATTACCATTGAATTGTAATAACATTGATGCCTATTTATGTAATTTTTAGATAAAATTCATAAAATTGATTGTTCAAAAAGTTGTCACACTTTACAACAAAATTAATTACTTGACTCAATGTTTGAGGATAAAATAAATCAAGCATTAATTTCTTATCTCATATTATAATTTATAAAAAAATTGGCTAGTAAGTGCAACATCATTCCATTTAATATCAATTTCAAGTTGTCTAAATTATAAAGCATACTATGTTACAAATTGATTTCTTTATTTCAAAATATAGATCTTGTTTTTTGCAATACAAATTACATTAAGTTTTCTATACATAGATCAAAACTCCACAAAAAAAGCTTCTAGATTGCTAAATATTAGATCACATTATTCAAGAAAAGATAAAAACAATCATTATGCATAACTAAAAAGTAGTGTTCTAATAAACTTGATTTGTGATCCTAGAGTTGAATAGCTTTGGAATTGAAGTTCAATTGCAAATTGTACTTTATTGATGAATCCTTGAAACTTTGATCTTGTACTATCTAACTTCTTAAGTAAGACAATTCTTGGTTCTTTAGGGCTTGAATGGTGTTTCACCATAGGACAAGAGATATGATTTGACGTAGATGTTGAAGCTCCAATCATCTCTATATCTCCACTTTTTATCATTCTTGTTCTTCCTTATGGTGATAGATTGAGTTTATGCATTGCAAGTATTAACTCCTTCAATTGTTGTTGCCTTTATGCTATTGCATTCTTTATTTTGAAAAGCTTTGTCATAATAATACTTAAAAGAAATGTATATATATATATATATATATATATATATAATATCACTCAAGATAAATAAAAGAAAGAACTTATAAATGAAGAAAATACTAAAAACAAAATCAATTTAAAAGAGAGTAATCCGCAACTTCTAATATGCTTATGTCTTATTAAGAAAAAGAGATTATTCACTCATAATCAAGAAAAGTCAAAACTCTCATATTATAAGTATATTCTTATCAATTTATCAAGGACAAGAATTCAATGAAAAAAAATAAATAAATGAGATTTTTTCAAAGAAATATCACAAAATAGAAATAAAGAAGTATGTATATTAAAAATAAAATTGAAATAGTTATTACCAAAAGACAAGAAAAATAAAGACTTTTTGAAACTAGAATAGAAGCAAAAAGGCTTCATCCTTGCCTCTATATATACTATCTATCTAAGAATTATATGTTGATATTTTATAAGACCTTAAAAATGTATTAACTTTATATGATATGTATTTTAACTTGCAAGGTAAATTTTCTATATGGATGCCATATAGTTAGCTTATTTTATAAACTACTAATACATATGGCACATAATTAACTTGTTGACTAAGTTTCTAATCTATTAATCAACTAAAAATACATATAAAGTCAAAGCAACATCTATAAATCTTCTAAGAAGCTTCTCTAAAAGATATTATAAAATTAATCTATTTTTACCTACCTCTACGTATTTATATTACTTAAGTAATAATTATAGAAAATATATGTTTGTGACATTAGGTCATTTGACGTCACTATTGCTACATATAATGTATAGATGATTACAATTACATTTGCAATAATATTGAGCTATCTATGATTACAATTACATTTGCAATAATATTGAGCTATCTATGATTACACACTTAATAGGGCTCTATACCAAATTTTTTATAGTATTTACTTAATAGGGCTCTATACAAAGCTCTTCTTAGTTTATTTCATTGAATTATAGCTCTTATGATGTATTTTATAATAAAGATTATTATTTTTTATACTCTTATTCATATGTTTTAGGCTTTATAATAAATAAAATTATCTATTTTAATCTTATTAGTATAAAATTGAAAAAAATAAATAAAACAAAAAAAATATAATAATGGTGGAAAATAACTCAAACATTAGAATACTTGTAATAAAGTCTTCTAGAGAGTTATGTTACATTTTAATGGAAAATATATTGAGCAAGACTGTCCATTTTTACTTATTAATATAAAATAGATAGATATTTTATGTTTTATTTTTATTATTTTTAGTTACTTAGATATTTAAATATAATATCTAATACATGAATATGTCAAATATTTTATGTAATATTTATTTTATATTTTTATCAAAAAAAATATTATTTTGAGAAATTTTGAAACAATTTGTTAGTTTTTTTAAGTTGAAAATATTTTTGAATTGAAAATTCATGGTAATTGCTAAAATTAATTTTATTATAAATTTTAATATACAAAGAGATTTGGACAAGATAAATCAATATATAATATTGGACATACAATGCTTGTAGTGTACTTCTTACAAATAAGATTTTTATATTATTATATAGAATCTTTATATGATACATTACATTTTAAAGTTTAGTATAAGATTAGCACTATTAAAAAAAAATAATAATCTATCTTTTATACCATTCATCATGATCAGTTCTTTTCAAAAACTATTTAATATGAATTGAATAAATAATCCAATTGCCTTTTTTCTTTTTGATTTTATAACAGCTTGTAATAAAATTATATATATATATATATATATATATATATTTAAAATTTAATTGTAAAAAAATTATAAAATAAAAAAAATATTTGAAATTTATTATATTCATTCAACCACACTAAGCCATTTATATGAAAAAAATTCTAATCTATATATAATACATATAAAAAAAAATGCTAAATCAACCTTTTTAAGCTGTTAATTTGACCCACCTATCATCAGAATGATAAAAAATATATCATTATTTGATTACAATAGATAAATGATATACTTTTCAACCTATCATAACTAGCATTATACTTCCCATCTTGACCCTCATTCTTGTTCCAAGTCTTTGACCTCTATTCTTATTCTTAACATTTGTCTTTCATTCCAACCCCCTATCTCTTATGCCTATTCCTAGTCCTTATCTTCCATCCCTACTCTCCCATATCTTGTGCCAGTTCCTAGCCTTTTTGTAATTCTCCAAGATTTGCTTTTATATATCCAAGATTATGAGGCTAAATAAATTCAATACCAAATCAATCATTGACATTGATAGTAGTGACAATTTTTCATTGGTTTTGTAGATAAGGGGATTGGAATATGGTAAGTAGATTGGAAACAAGAACAAGGGAGAAAGAGATTGAAATGGAGAACACGGAGTATAATGTTGGTTATAATAGGTAGATTGAATTAACGGGTACTAGGATCAATTTGGCATTCTCTTAAATATATTATAATCTATTTATAATGATTATATATTTATATTTATATATTTTTTCTTCTTATTATTTTACATAAATTAATAAAAATTATTAACTAGATATAAAAGGTATATTTATAACATAAAGTTGCAACAAAACATACTATATTATTTAGAATTAAAATATTTTAGAATCTTGTATAATACATCTTTAAAGTACTTTTTTAGTAAAAACATGTTTTTATTAATAAGTAATCTATGATATAAGTAATATATTATTGATCATTTTTAATAAATAGTTAATTTTGAATAAATTTTAAATTTCAGTATTATATATGCTTATTAATTATAATTTCACCAAATATAAGGACTAAAAGGACTTATGATACATGCCAACGGATTTTATATAAAGACTTTGGATGCTTGTTTAATTGCTTATTTGAGTTTTTAGATCTTTTCTTTCAAGTTGTCCAAGTGGAAAGGTTTAAAGTTATTTGTAATTTGAAAATCTGTAAAATATATTTAAAAGTGGATTTATGAGGTATGAAGTAACTCATATTATTTATTAAGTCAATTTAATGAAAAATTCTCAATTTTCTAATTTAAATATAAAATCATGTATATTCATAAATCAAGTATTATTCAATGTAATTAAATATTTCATTTTAATCCAATTGTTTCTTTATCTGATAGTGTGTTTAATTCCTAAATTACTATTTCTGTAAACTATGCTCATAAAGCAAAATAAAATCTTTCAGGATGCACTTTTTAACTTTTAAAAACTAAAAGAAGAAGAATTTAGAAATATGGCCGTATAATAAATTGAATGTAAGAATAAATCTACCAAGATTGAAAATAACTTTGATGTTTCTCGAACCTCTATCTGTTTTTGAGACTCTAAATTTATGGTCTAAATTTTTATCTAAGACTTTTCATATATATATATATATATATATATATATTTCACATGCTTCATCAACATGGAAACAATGTATTTTGGCAAAATAGACAATGTGTAAACTCCACAAATCATCTCCCCTGTTTATTTTCATGAACATTATAACATATTAAAAAATTACTCCACGTAATACGACACTGATGGCTCTCAAGAAGCTCACATATCTTTCACAAATGCAACTAGATTTTCTTCAGTTGTACGGAATCCCACCCCCACTCAATTCCCTTCCATCTTTTTAGTTCCGCTCATTAAAACCATCAACTGTTCACACCCACTTCGACAAAAAACTGAGTCTTATTATTATATGAACAGCAACGTTGATTAATCATTATGCCAACGTGGCGAAATAATGTAACATGTGCTGGAATACATAAGCTCAGTTTCTTTCACGCCGGACTCTCGTCGGATTCGCTCCATCAAGACACCCCTCATGACTGGAATTACAGGATTGGCTCAACGTCAACATAATAGACCCTTTGATGACAGTGACACGCTTCCGGATGCTCTTGACAGGCTACTGTGTGCTAATTCTTGTCACTGTGAGTACTTCTGGGACTCCCTTAGCAGATACACCACAATCTGACCAATTGGCCACTGCCAAGGAACCGAGCAGGCTCACTACCAACTCACCACCTCTCCCTACCGCCAACAGCGTGGGAAACACACCTCCCACACCGAGGCTCCCTCCTCGACCCTCGTCCTTGGCAGCAAAACCCCGCCCTCCTCTCTTACGTTGCTGGTAATCACAATTGTTCGAGCAGCGCCAGGCCTCGCCACCGAATGTGTCTTGGCGAACAGCTAGGGAAGCAAATTACTCTGACCAAAGCTACCAATTCCAAACTACAGCTGGGCGTCTCCACACCTCCTCAAGACATCGCTAGTCGATAAATTGTCATGCTGGCTCCCCGAGCGGCACACGCTTCTGCTCAAACCCATCCACATTACGATCGGTAAGCAGGGTTTATTGGAAGTCCAACCAATAGTAGAAATCATCGTTGAACAAAAATTCTCAAACCACACCATGCACTGGAAAGGGAATCTCAGATTTATCGCACCCCGCATTGCAACAAACAACATATCGCTCGACCCAAGCTGGGAGAGCCTAAACAACAAGATTTATCCGAAGCCTTTGCTCCGCGATGTCTAAATCCAACCTAAACATTCTACCCTGGAACGTCAGGGGCCTCTCCAACCCCAAGGCGGGACAAGTAAAACGGAGACGACTTCGATCGCACCTTAAAACTATCTAACCGCGCACGGACGTGGTGTTTATACAGAAACACAAAATGCCCCCAGATTTATGCAACAAAATGAGTTCCTTCGGTTTTCACAGAGGACACACATTCTGGAATGGGGCAGTTCTAAATCCAGTTACCAATCGATCTAGATGCGGTACAGCCATACTGATATCCGTTGCCCTCAAACATAGTGTAGTAGATGCCGGAATCTTGATTGATGGCCGTGCACAGTGGATCATATGCACGTAAAACTCACAAACTATTGGGCTATTAAATGTTTACACCCCCAATCGGAGCAGAGATCGCGCCGCTTTCTGGGACTCCCTTAGCAGCGGACTACCCCCCGCTGCCTCATGGATCCTTGGAGGCGACCTGAACATGGTCGAAAATGAGAGTGTCCGCAGCGGGAACCCTCTGAAAAAACAATGCGCGGAAGAGCAATCAGCATGGGATAACCTAGTCCTAAAACTAGGTCTCGAGAATACTTGGTTATCAGATGACTTCGACCACAAAAATTCTTTAACCTTCTCATGGTCGAACAAACAACAAGCAAACAGTCACCGGCTTGCTCAGCTCGATCGATACTATGTGGGAGAATGGGCGAAAACACAAGGTGGCAGAGTGCGTATACTTGAGGGATACAACACGCTCCCTGATCACCTTCCTGTCCAACTCGAGCTACGCCTCCACGCTAGACACTATGAAACAGATCGTCAATTTTGATTCAACACTACATTCCTCGAAGACCCAAACCTAATCACTCAAATCAAAAATCAGTGGAATCTTACACCGAAGCCAACCTCGGGCGGCAATAGATGGTCGGCCTGGCTGGCAAAGACTCTAGAAAGAGTCAAAAGTTTTGGTTAAGCCAAAGGCATTCGCCGCGAAAAGGAAAAATGGGACCGCAATCGTCAGCTTCGAAGTGCACTGATCTCCGCAGAACGCCTCCTCCATTCATACACAGCAGATCCCCAAGCACAAAGCACACACTCCTCGGCCTCCCAGGAACTTCTTGAAAAAGAACAACAAGCAGTCGAATGGCAGGCGATCAGATCCTCCTCCCGCTGGGCATCCCTCGACGGCAGAATGAAGAAATGTTTCTTCCTCGGTGTACAGGAAGTGAAATCTGCCCCACCTCTGCAAATGATATGCGACTCAGAAGACCGCAAATACATCACAAACGTAAGCATGGCGGACTATGCAAAGGATTACTTCTGCAACCTCTTCACTTCACAGGGGAGCGCGGAGGGATGTGATTCAGCGCGCAATTCTGACTGGTCCAAAATCCCATCAAAGGTCTCCCCAATCATGAATTCCAACCTTACAAAACCTTTTAGCAAAGATGAAGTTTATGAGGCGCTGAAGGAACTCCCCACAAGCAGAGCACCCGGAGTGGACGGCTTTCCTGCAGAGTTTTTTTCAACATTTCTGGGAGCTCCTTGGGACAGACCTTATGAAGTCCTACGCGAAACACTCTCAATGGTACATTACATCGCTTACTAAACACAGGTCTGATTTGCCTTGTCCCCAAGGCAGTTTGCGGATAACACAAATCTCTACCTAGAAGTTACGCGTGAAAACCTTCACAAAAGTAAGGAGATTCTCTCAATTTTTGCTTGGGCTACGAGATCTCAGATCAATTGGGATAAATCCCATGCCATATGGATCTCAAACGAGGTGCGATCTTTCAGTTGGGGTGAAGAAGTTAGGCTTCGATGGCTGGCACTAGGGGAGATGACAAGATACCTAGGTTTTTCAGTAGGCTTCCGAAACTCTCCAAAAACCTGTTTTGAATTGACATTAAAAAACCTGAAATTAGGAGCTTGATTACTGGGCCACTACCAAGCTTTCATTGGCCACCAGAATTTCAATCGCCAATCAAGTGCTACTGACATCAATGTGGTACGTTGCATTGTGTTGGAGCCCTTCCCCTCGCACGGTGAACAAGGTCTGTTCACTCATTCGGAATTATATATGGAGTGGCGAGGATGGGGAACGGAAATGCCGTGCCAAGGTTGCTTGGGATTCTTTGACAATCCCTCACAAATTGGGAGGGTAAATTTGCTTGATCCAGAGGTTCAGATCCATACGCTAATGACAAAACTCCTCGTACAGGGACTGCTTCCAGACTTTGCTCCCTGGAGAACACTCCACCAACATCGCGTACGCTCTGCGTCCGAAACGAGTAGGTCAGTGGCCCCCTCATATCCAGTTCATGTTGTTTACCGATCGTGTACAGCGCAGGGTCGGACGTATGGCGAGCTCCCTGGGAAGCGTGGAAGAAGACCCGATCAGGGCTTATTTTCAACAACCAATAATCTCAGGCGCCTCGGCGAGGCAGTGCCTCTTCTGGAACGGAGAACTTCTTACATCACTGGCTCGTATTCGACATGAACTTCTTACATCACTGGCTCGTATTCGACATGTGCATAGAATGAATGCAAAATATCATATTTCAACCAATAATATGAAGGTTATTAAAAAGGAGCGCCAATTCTTTAATTTTTAATGATTCAATGTATCCCTCTGTCTATATGCTGCAGAAGGTAGACATCAAAAAACCGAAAATGTTTGGGTGGATGGTTGTTGAAGTAACAACTCTGAATTGTGTAGGATCATGGGTGTACAATTGGAGTGACTATCTCTGTTTTCAAATGTTACGGACTTCTTTGTGAGTACACTATTATATATTATCAATTTTAGTTTATGTTGAAGCATGGCTTCGGTTCTCTCCAGGAGGCCTTGAAAGACGAGAAGGCACAGAACCTTACAGGACAAATAAAAAGAACAAGCAAAAAGAAACGTAATCCAGTGATTCACTCGGGAGCTTCCGTTGCCGGGACTCGAACCCGGGTCGCTCGGGTGAGAGCCGAGTATCCTAACCATCTAGACTACAACGGATGCGGACAACTCCGCAATCTGCCGCCGATGCACAGTACGAACGCGGCTCACTATTAGTTCGATCTGGAAAACGTGACTCAAGTACATAATCAAGCCCTCCCTAGCGACATTTCCAGTGCAAATTTACTACCACTGGTCTGCAAATACAAAACCATTTGCATGTTCACAGAATCTCGCCCGGCACACCCCGCACACACTGCAGTAGCGTGTTCAAACAGACAAGAGTGGTTTCTTCAATGCTGGCTTGCACTCCAGATCAGAAACTCTAGTCCAAAACAGTTTGGTAACATCATGGCACACGAAACATCAGACTTTCCTTGTAATTCTATCATCGCAGACATTTACCGCGTCCGTCATTCCAAACCTATATGGACCAGATGACCTATTAAACCCGATACTTCAGAAAAGGCAGAGAGGGCAGTCCGTAACCCTCTGGCCCAGAAATTTATGTCTCAGTGTTTATATTGGTGTAATAGTAATCTCAGCACATGAGACTCAATGTGGTGCATGACATTGAACCCATCACCGACAACATTCACCTCGAAAACATTCAGACGCTTCACTATCACGCTGTTCACGGAAGCTTCTTCCTGCGCAGGTAGATTCTTCAGGGTAAGGTCGAATAGCTGCCCGTGACATCGTTCTCAGCAACATTCAGCGCTCTATGTGCTATAGATCAGCAGCACACGAGTGACTCTAGACAGATTGCCTCGTAACCACTCTCCGCAACACAAACATCCGCTCAAACCCTTACATGTTCTGTGTAGTTTTAATGGAAGTTCCAGCCAGACGGCAGATTACCAAATCTGATCACTGAGGCCCTTCGATACACTACAACCAGAAAGAGAGAAGAAATAAAAAAGTAAATAAAGGAAAAAAAAAAATATGCACAAGCAACTAGTAGACAGCATATATGGCCTCCAAAACCACAGCGAAAGCCCCAACTAAGCATTCCGGAACACGACACAAAACCACGACTAACCGTGGCATAAGCACCACACTACAACTAGATCAAAGCAAAGCTAACCACGACGAAATGGGCAGACATCAGCTCAGCTACGCACCGAGAACAGTGCAGGGACTGAGTGCGAACTGGTGGGATTGAGATAGGTGACGGTGATGGCAAATTTATACAAATGGTTTCGGCGCAACTCTCAGTGCGGCAAACACAAACCCTAATCGACATGTTCGTGGAACTTGTTTCATTCAGTTTTAAGAACCTTAATATGATAAATTCAGGTTTCTTTATAAGAATAAAAGATGTGGAGAATTATGTGTTGTTGAGACAGGAATGAACGCATCATGTTTACAAGACAGTATGTGAAACCGTACAAAATATTAAAGATTCTTCAATCTTTGGTACAATATCAATAAATAAATGTACATGTGTGTGTATATGTATATATATATATATATATATATAAACCAAAAGACACAAACTTATTAACATGTTCCACGAACATGTCTTTTTACAATTTTATTCTTTATAAGTTTATACAGTTGAAGAGAACAATTTATATGTTTTTTTAATTGTGAATTAAAGATGTTTTTTTTGAAATGTTAAATGTATTAATTCAGCTTTAAAATAATCAAACGATTATTTCAGTTGTGTATCTAATGAATTTATTTAACTTCAATAATAAACACAGATTTATCTTATTGGGTATTTTTTTGAATCTTCTAAACAATTGTTATAGATTGTGGTAGTAACGGTATTAATTTAGACAACCATTTATGTATTGTAGATGAATCTATTACTTCTTTTTTTTTTTATCTATTTTATATATATTAATTTATGTAAGGATTATATATACATCTATTTATATGAAAAATCAACTAGCCTACATTTGGCTGGAGTAGTAGGGAGCACTCATTGCTAAGGTTTTATGTTTTATTTTTTATTTTTATTTTTTTAATCTCAGTAAGGGGCATTAATTGGGGCACTAATTGGCTGTCAATATTTTTTTTTTTTTTATTTATTATTTTTGTAAATTGCAACAAAGGGCACTCATTGGTTGTCAAGGTATATTGTGTTATTTTAATCATAGTAAGGAGCTCTTATTGGTGTCACGGACACAGAATACAGACTTGAAATCTAACAAGAAGTTCAAGAAGAAGTGGCAGAACTAGATTAAACAGATGAGTACAAGAACAACACCTGAAAGGTGAGCTAGAACTCCAAGAGATGTGTTGTCGAGACTGAAGAACCCTTCAGCCTCGACTCCTATATATACTATTGAATAGGAAGCTTCTCGAGCTACTTCCGCTAACTAGGACGCTTCTCCAACAACTTCTACTAATTAGGAAACTTCTCGAGCAACTTCCTAGAATCTATCAGAATATTCTAGAACCTTCTAAGAGAATCTTTAGAGAATATTCTAAGAATCTTCTAGAACCTTCTAAAGATTCCTTTAGAAAATATTCTAGAAGAATATTCGAAGAATCTTCCAATGTATGTCCATGACATCACCTCCTCTTCTAACTTCGAGGTCTCCGAGAAGCAATGTTGTTATCAGTCAATACCAACGCAAGAAAATGAAAATCTGTCGCATCACATCCGCTATGAATTCCAATTGTTGTTCGCGAGGCAAATGATTCATCGGCCCTTGGAGCCAACGGTAGTGACCAACACCTTCAACCTCTGACCAAGCGTGGACTTCTGTGTCTTCATTGTGAAACTGTCCTCCAAACACACCTTCTGGCTGACCGTCGTAGGCAGGCTCGACCTCAAATACAATTACTAGCGATCTGTTGCTCGGTATCCTCCGACGTCGTCGTGGTACAGGCGGTTCTTCATCTCGCGGTCGTCTTCGTGAGCTAGTCGCTTGAGATGACATAACAAGTGTAGTATCTTGACTATCCATGTCCAAAGGCTAAAATGATGAGAGCAAACTATAGTTGCTAACAAAGTTCTACACTATCGAACTATGGGTTTTGGAAGTGCCCTCCCCCCTTTTTATGCTACTTGATGAGCAAGCTTCAGCAAGAAGCTATCGTTGAATCGGCTTAGGTTTATGAGGATATCGTTGATGAAATTCTTGTACCTTTTTTGGTGCATTGGCAAGATTTTCAGCACGCTCCCACGTTCGCTCATTGATGTCGTATCCACTCCAATGCACTAAATACTCCAATTTTCTCCTATTACGCCGTGAATTTAGTACCTTTTCCACCTCGTATTCCTCATGGTTTTCAATTTCGATACTTGGTGGCGGACTTTGTACTCTTTGGGGAAAAGCTGACTCTCGATAAGGTTCCAACAAAGACACATGAAAGACTGGATGTACCTTCATAGTAGCTGGTAACTCCAGACGATATGCCACCGGATTGATCTGCTTCCCGATAACAAATGGCCCTAATCTCCGATAGTCCAATTTATCACATGGCCGCTTGGTCTTGATATTCCGTCGAAGAAGCCATACTTTACTTCCAACTTTAAAAGTAGGCGCCTCATTTCGATATTTATCTGCAGAGGCCTTGTAACTCTCTTGGGCAGATTGTAATTGAAGCTTCAACGTCGCTTGAAGCTCCGATAGTTGCTTCACAAATCCTTCAGCTGCTGGGTTGTTATTTACTGAAGAACTCAATAAATCGAGCTTGGGGTGGTATCCGTAGTTGGAGAAGAATGGTGTTTGTTGAGTTGACGCATGAAGAGTGTTGTTGTATGCGAACTCAGCAAGCGGTAGATATGCAGTCCAATCATCTTGTTGATAGTTGATGCTGCATCGTAAATATTGCTCCAAAACTTGATTCACCCGCTCCGTTTGACCGTCAGTTTGAGGATGAAAAGCCGAAGAGAGCTTAATATCCACCTTCAATATCTCAAAGAGGGACCTCCAAAACTTGGATACAAACTGAGTACCTCGATCCGACACGATATCATCTGGTAGGCCATGATAACGATATATGTTATCAAGAAAGAGTCTTGCGGTGTCTTCACTTGACGATGTTTTCTTGCAAGGCACGAAATGCGCCATCTTCGTAAATCGATCCACCACAACAAAGATGCTGTCAAATGAATTCGATGGCGGTAGGTCCGTAATGAAGTCCATAGAAACTGAAGACCATGGTCGGTGCGGAATAGGCAATGGCTGGAGAAGTCCATACGGATGATATCGAGGGATCTTGGATCTTGAACAAACATCACAAGAAAGGACAAATTCCTTCACATCCTTCCACATTTGGGGCCACCAAAAATCTCGTGAAATGAGCTCCAAAGTCTTGTTGAATCCAAAATGTCCCGCAGCTGGAAAGTCGTGGCGAGATTGAAGTACTCGGAGTCGAGTTGGTCCTTTCGGGATATACAACCGCTCCTCAAAATACAGAAGATCTCCCTCCACCTTAAACTTGTCATTATCGACACGTTGTTTGATGTCAAGAGCTATAGAATCCTCAATGGTCGCAGTACGTACCTCGCTGAGGAAGCCGTCATCGATAGTTGCAACAGTAGCAAAAATCCTGAATTTTTCTGGTTTCAACAATGTTGTACATTGTTGATCAAACGCTGCTTCTCCAGCCTTTGGCGCAAGATACGATCTCCTCGATAATGCGTCAGATAATCCTTGCTGTTTTCCAGGGCGGTAGGTGATAATAAAGTCAAATCGTGATAGAGACATATTCCATCGAGCTTGACGACGATTCAAAATTCGAGCTGTCATGAAGTACTCCAAATTCTTGTGGTCTGGATGTGCAGCTCCTTCGAGGAAGTGACGCCACTCTTGGAAGGCATCCACTATAGCAAGCAGCTCTTTGTCGTGGATCTCGTAGTTGATCTCAGTAGCAAAGAACTTTCGTGAATAGAACGCAACTGGGTGAAGCTTCTTGTCTATGCCCATTTGTGAAAGCACAGCTCCCAAAGCAAAATCTGAAGCATCGGTCTCTAAATAGAAAGCCTTTGCAAAGTCAGGGTGTACCAAGATTGGAGCCGTAGTGAATGCCGTCTTGAGATCTTGAAATGCTTTTGCTGCTTGTGATCCCCATTCGAGCTTGTCTTTGCTTGTTAGACGCGTGAGTGGTGCAGCAACTTGAGAATAATTCTTGATGAAGATCCGATAGAAGTTAGCAAATCCAAGAAAACACTGAACATCTCTAACCGTCTTCGGAACTTCCCAAGATATAATTGCTTCTACCTTTTTTGGATCCATCTTCAAGCCCTCTGTAGTCGCAATGAAGCCCAAAAATTCCATCTCATTCTGGTGAAATTGACACTTCTCCAACTTGGCGTAGAGTCCTCGTTCGCGTAGTTTTTCAAGAACCAAACAAACGTGCTTCTCATGTTCTTCTTCATTCTTGGAAAATATCAAAATATCATCCAGATAGATGACAACAAAGTCATCGAGGTACTCCCGAAAGATGTCGTTCATCATATGCTGAAAGACCGCTGGAGCATTGGTAAGACCAAAAGGCATGACATTGTACTCAAAATGGCCATACCTTGTACGAAAGGCTATCTTCCATTCATCTCCTTCTTTGATTCGCACAAGGTTGTAGGCTCCTCTTAAATCAATCTTTGTAAAAATCCTTGCACGTCCAAGTTGATCTAAGAGGCCGGAGATCAAAGGTAAGGGATAGCGATTTTTCTTGGTCACCTTGTTGCGTCCTCGGTAGTCCACGCACATCCGTAGTGAGCCATCCTTTTTCTTCACGAATAAGATTGGTGCTCCAGCTGGCGACTTTGAATGTCGAATAAAATTCTTGGCTAGATTCTCATCGATGTACTTCCGCAATTCTGCCAACTCCGTCTGCGATAGGTTGTATGTTGGACCAAAAGGTGGTTGCGCTCCTTCCTCTAAGTCTATGGCGCAATCATATGGTCGATGTTCCGGCAGTATATCGGCATTCTTCTTCTGAAACACGTCTTCAAAATTCCTATATTGCTCTGGTATATTCGATGTTGAGATATTCTCGTCGCTAGTTGGAGCTGCATAAATGACAAATGGTGCGCCTTCCTTGGACGATCTTAGGAACGCTCTCGCTCCAATAAACATGGATTTCTTCATGTAGGTTCTACCAACAGGTTTATTATTATTTTTTTCAGGAAATATTATCCTTCGTAGCCTCCAATCAATGGACGGATTATGATCTTCTAACCAAGA